CCCCCCCCCCCCCCCCCCCCCCCACCCAAACTTACAACCAAATCATTCCAAATTCTGAGTTCTTATTTAACCACCTATGAATATTATGATACACTATTCAAAATTAATCATTAAATTTTTGAATTCGAACAAAATACATCATAGAGCTTTTCCTAAAAATTTTGCTAGGCTATGAACGCCGTGAGACAGTTCGGTCCATAGAGATCTTGGATAGTCTTCCCTTAATCGAATCTCGACTCATTCTCTGCGGCCCACGAACAAAGAATATAGTATTTATTACTTATAAGCTTCTCGTAACCCATACTTCAAAGAGTGTTGTTATATAAAGCTTTAATGCCTGCAATATCATCGGCATGCAAACCCTTGGAATCTCCTTCCGGGACTGATGGCCACATGATAGCCCCTTCAATGGAGCTGTGTTGAAGCCCAAGAAGATGTCCGATCTCATGCAATGCCACCGTCTCCAAATCGAACGAACCCGAAACCACACCGGCCGCCCAAGACTCGTCTGCATCGAGATGAAACCGACCATCCGGTGGCGAAAACGCATGGGCTATCACTCCTCCAACGCCGTCGAATGGATAGCCATCTCCATGATCTCCAGTTTCAAACCCTATTTTGATGTCAGCAGTTTGGTTGCTCAAAGCTTGTGAGAAGGTGAAGTGAGAGTTGGCCGCCCATGTCGCAAAAGCTCGAGCGATCGGACTTGCCGTTTCCGGTGGAGTTTCAGGGAGGAACCCTAATAAGAATAATTTATTAGTTGAGTTCTAAGTTGATTATGAGATAGTGAAAGATTTAAGTTTACCATAAGTGAGATGAGATTTTGAAGCAGGCCATTTAGGGTTTCCTTCAAAAAATGCAAATTTAGAAACTGTATGAAAAAGGCCTCTTCCATGTCCAGGTTGATATCTTTTCTTGCTTGATCTCATCCAAGTATTGCCATGGATGATATCTGCAACCCCGCATCGAGGCTTCGACATTTGAGCTAGTGTCACGGCATCTAGAGCTCCGGTGACTTTGAGATTGAAATTCTTTTGATATGTTTTAACGGCCGACTCTAACGATTCATCGAAGTCATCGTCGATTGTTTCGGAATGAATTTGAACATCGTTCAAGTAGCCGAAATGTCGAAGGTATTTCTTCAGCTGATGGATGCCTTCCAGTTTGTCGCCTTTCTGGGATCCATGAAGGCGATTCAGAAACATCAATTGTGATGGCTGTTTTGTGTGGGAATGCACAGAGTTTGGTGGAGAAGATGATGTTAAAGGGAAGAGGGTCAGAAGGAGAAGAGTGAAAGTGAAGAATGATAATCCTTCCAATGCCATATCTCACTTCTCTTCAAAGTAGTGTTTGGTGGTGGCTGAAGAAAAGTTGGGAGCCTTATTTATACTTTTTCAACAAAGAAAGAGATTGTGGGACTAATGGAAGGGAAGATTACCAAACATTTCTGGTAAGGGTGTGAAAACTTCTATTCAGTAGACGCGACTTAAAATCGTGAGGCTAATAACGATATGTAACGGGCCAAAGCAAACAATATTTGTTAGCAGTGAATTTGGACATGTACAGTGATATCAGAACCAAACACCAAGCTGTGTGCAAGGGAGGACACTAGGCTTCCAAGGAGGTGGATTGTGATATACCACATCAATCTTTATTGAATTTGAATATCATAATAGTGAATATAGTTTTGATTCAACCGGTTTGGTCCATGTACTTTTTATTTTTTATTTTTTTGAATCTTTATAATTGATTGGAATAATGGAAAATAACAATATTTTGAAATTTATGGAAACCAACTCATTATAGAAGTAGAAGGGTGGGAAAACCTCTCACTAACATATGCATTTTTAGAATGTAGAAATTAAGAATTAGAACGGTGAGATGTATATGCATTTTAAAATTGTGAGGCTGATAACGATACGTAACGAGTCAAAGCGGATAATATCTGCTAACGATGTGTTTATGGTGTTACATTTAACTTTCAAATTTGTATGAAATACTAATTATCATCCTAAACGTTAATAATTAAACCATGTTTTAGGAGATGCAGGAGGAGTCAAATCCAGATTCTGAATCTTAATCTAAATTTTAAACTTGAAGCGTTACATAGACGGTGAGGAGCGGAAATGTATAAGTTATCCATGGAAAAAAAAAAAAGGTTGGAGGCTACGTGTAGTAGTTGTGTTTGAAGAAAACAAGTGTTGGAAGAAAAGGGTTAGTTAGTTAACTAATGAAGTGAGTGGATAAGGAGAAAAGGTGGGAGAAAATTGAAATATGAAGAACAAATGGGGTGAAAGTTAGGCTGGAAATGTTGAAGCACCGAAGCCGACAAAGGCTAAGAACTCAAATATGTTGCAAAAACCACGTCAGCTTAATGATCATTTGAGGCTTCAAGGGGTGGGTGTAACAGTAATTAAACGTTTTTTTCTCTCTTTTTATTAGTCCTCTTTTCTTGGACAACCAACAATAACAGCTTCCTGGTCAAACTTTTCAGCTTCCTCAACATTTGTCATAGGGTGATGGCCCACACATTCTCCGACGTCATCTCCGAACATGATCATGTTATTTACTCCTCACTTCTAAAAGTAAAGACTATTCTCACAGGTCAACACGAATAATTCTAACATGTTTTGTCCTCATACACATATATCATTAGGAAAATTCTTAATTCACTCAACATAGAATTGCTCAAAGTAAAATACGCTTGACCATGAAGTTTCTATAATTGAGCCACAAAAAGAAAATGAACTTTGTTGGTATAAGTGGTGACATTCGATTCTTTTTAAGTTTTTTTAGCTCTCTCTTATCTAGGGGTGGTTTTAGTTCATTCATGCACCCTTCATTTCCTCGTATGTTAATGTACTAATTTTGTTATTCAATATTTCTTCTATAAAAATAGAAAAATCTTATTGGGTAACGCATGGTAAGAAGAATAAAATGTGAAATGCAAGGTTTGAGTATGGCCCATATTCTAGAAATACATGTGAAAAGAATATGAATGAAATTTGATTATATGAGAAATATGCATAAAAATTAGATCAAATTTGGTGGAAGAACACATGATGGGGGGAAAATAGAAATATCAAAAAGAGAAAACAAAGGTCTCAAATATATTTGGAAAATTATGAAGTGCTTCCAATTTAGCGGTCTTTTATCTTTGACAACCACGTAGACTTGGTAGATGAAATAATAATATTAGAAAATGCCTCATTTCTCTTAAAATGTTAGGTTAATTTGGTTTTAATTTGGACTCATAAGACATTCCATGTACTTGTTTTAACAGTTCTCATGTACTTAAATTTCTTTTTTGCCCTCTCTTTTTGTAAATCTTTCCGATTTAATTGGAATCTTTGACCAGCTTTCGTGGAGAAATTATTTTTAAAATTCTTCCATATTTGTATAAAATAAAATTTCAAAACTGCAATTATAGCGTATGATTAGAAATCTCTTCTTAATAAACACATTTTAAAATTACAAGATTGACCATATATAACAAGTTAAAACTAACAATATCTACTAACAGTGACAATAATGAAAGATGTTGTTGCTACCTATATTATTCTTAATTAATATTTTATTATTTTAATTAACAAGTTATTTATTGCATTACAATTTTTAGATTATTAATGTAATTTTGAATATTTTTTATAAGTTCAATCATTTGAGAAAATTAATATTTGGAGTATTCCTTCTCGAACTCAATTTTTTAAACTTTTAAATCGAGATAAATCTTCATGCACCCATGAATTGGGCTGTAACGGCTTTTGGGCTCAACCATTGAACTTGAGCTTTAATGGCTTTGGGCCTAACATTTGGATTTAAATTTTATTTTTGTCCGAAATTTCATATCTCAATTTAACAAAATTAAGTATAATTATTTGGGAATTTTCATAATAAAGAAATCTGACATTCTAATCCAGGATTTATCAACTTCAAATTAAATTTGGGATGAGTGTAAATTTATATTTGATTCCAAATTTAATTATTTATAATTTCACAAAATTTATATTGATTGAAATAAGAACAAATAAATATCAATAAATGAAAGAAAAAGAAATGAAGGCAGATTGTGAGATACCACATCGATTGATGAGATGAACAATTGTCAACGAGAATATTGGATTTCAAAAGAGATAGATTGTGAGATCTCTCATCGGCTTGGTAGAAGAATGAAACATTGTTTATAAGAGTGAAAATTTATCTCTTACAAACGTATTTTTGAAATCTTGAGGGAAGTTCGAAAAAGAAAACAATATATGCTAGAGGTAGACGTGAGTCTGAAGTCAATTCTAATACATTAAAGAGAAGTCAAGAAGTAGAGCATTGTATAAAGCCTTAATGGCTGCAACGTCGTGGGCATGCAAACCCTTGGTAGTTCCTCCCATGATGGTCGGCAACATAATACCCCCTTCCACTGAGCTGTGGTGAAGGCCCATAAGGTGTCCAATCTCATGCAACGCCACGGTCTCCATATCAAACGAATTAGGAACGGCAGCAATAGTCCATGACTCAACGCCATCAAAATGTAACGTCCATCTGTGGGCGAAAAGGCACGAGCTATGACTCCTCCAACACTGTCGAAAGGATGGGCGTCTCCATGTTCACCACTTTCCAAGCTTATTTTGATATCTGTTTAGAAATAACAGGCCAGAGGTACCAAAAATTGCACCAAAAGTCTCAAATACGTTGCATACAACGAATGGTTGAAGAGTCTATGAAGTTTGGAGATTTTTATAGATATTATTTCTTCTATATTGCATCGTTTAAGATTTTGAGACTATGGTTGTAATTATCTAAGTTATGCCAACACTTTTTTGTATGGAAGACTTTTGTTTGTGAAAATAAATGGAGAATTTCATAGGAATAAAGAATGAATTAAAGACTGGGACGAAGTTGGTGTAGGCTTCCTCATCTCACCCCACCCGGGGACAATCTATCATTAACATGAATTTTACTAAATTATAACAAAATTTTGCAATAAAACAAAACAATAGCCACTAATTAGTCAACTTCCCTCTCAATAATTCTCAACAATCTTTTCCTCATATGGAGCCTCCCCTCCCCTTAGGCCTAAATAGCCCTCGAACAGTATCCCCTTAATCAAGGCTTGGCTCCTTTTTCTTGAGCCCTAAAATAAAATGGAGCACTTAAATAAAGTACACCGTTTGTTCGCACACTTGAGTATTCTATTGACATGACTTTAATACCATGTTGAGAACCATACCCCTCCACAATGACATGATATTATTTGTTCTAAGCACAAACTCTCATGGTTTTTCTTTTAGTTTTCCCAAAATGTCTCATACTATTAGATACTATATTTTTCACTTATAACCCATAATTACTCTCTTAATTAGCCCATTCAGGATTAACAGGGGTTAGAAGCAATGGCCAATTAATATAGAGAGAATTAGGAGAAGTTACTCTTGATACGGATGATATTATATCCTCCATCTCCGCTCCCCTCCAAGGTTTGGTTCAAACAAATGTAGTGAATGGGAAAGGAGACCAAGTTTTCATAAATATATATATATACTAAATGAGTCTTGTTATACATACCTACTTTCTTTAATCTCTCAAGACTCGAACACTAAGAAGAGGCTTAAGTGACACGAATGAAATGGAATGGAATGGAGAGAAGAATATAGGAAAAACTTCACATGATTTACCTATGGAAGCCCCCCCTCCGCCTCCATTATTAGCATCTCTCAACCAAAGATGACTAAAAACTAGAGATATTCAAACTACATCAATCCCATCTTAATGGGATCTCCTCTGCAAATTGACCAAACTATAATAAGCCCCACTTTCTCCCTTCCCCAACAACGCCGAATGCGTCCCTGTCTCCACCACCGTCCCTTTATCCAACACCGCTATCATATCGCAATTCTGTATCGTACTCAGTCTGTGCGCCACCACCACGCTCGTCCGCCCCACCATCACCCTCTCCAGCGCCTCCTGTACCACCTTCTCCGACTGCCCATCCAGCGCGCTCGTCGCCTCATCCAGCAGCAGCACTGCCGGATTCTTCAATATTGCCCTCGCTATTGCAATCCTCTGTTTTTGCCCCCCAGATAGCTGCATTCCCCTGTCCCCGCACCACGTCTCGTACCCGTCCTTTAACCCCGAGATGAAATCGTGTGCGTTCGATGCCTTTGCTGCTTCGATTATCTCTGTCTCCCCCACCTTCTCTGCAACTCCGTACACGATGTTTTCCCTTATTGTTCCCGCGAATAGTGTCGGCTCTTGGCTTACCAACGCGATGTGTTTTCTCAGCGTTCTCAGATGGTACGATTTTAAATCGCGACCGTCCATGCTCACCGTCCCTTTGATCGGGTCGTAGAAACGCTCGATTAACCCGATTATGGTGGATTTCCCCGACCCGCTTTGCCCAACCAACGCCGTCGATTTCCCGGCCTCGAGTACGATCGAAAACCCACGAAATATCATCACTTCCGCTCGAGATGGGTAAGCGAAATCGACGCTATTGATTTCAATTCGGCCGGTTAATTTGTTGGGTTTATACCCTTCTGGGTCGTCCGGTTCAATTTTCGTAAACCGATCCAACACGTCGAAAACCGACCCGACAGCCTCGGACCCTTTGGCGAGATCTGACGTCATACTGCCGGCGTCGGCAATGACGCGACCTGTGCTGATCAGAACCATGAACGTTTCAAACAAAGCTTTCGCAGTGGTTTGGCCCTTAGCGATCAACTTGCCGCCGTACCAGAAATCCAAGGCCCAGGAGCAAGTAGTGAGGCTTTGGGAGCAGCCGAGGCCGATTCCGGCATACCAAGATTGCTTGATGCTTTCTCGTCTGGGGCCTTCTTGTGCGTTCTCGAGCATTTTTAAGATGCGTTCTTGTGAGGAGAAGGCGGTGATGGTTCGGAGATTGGAGACGGCCTCTGCAGCAAGCTTGCTGCTCTGTTCTTGGGCTTTGATGGATTTGTTGGACATGTTCTTAAGAAGGACTCGTCTTGTGTAGAAGCACATTATGACTAAGGGTTGGACTGCGATCATTACAAGTGCTAGCCTCCAGGCGATTACGAGCCCCATCGTGAATGCTATGGTTACTGCTGAGATTGTTTGTACAATTAGTGCCATTCTATCGCCCACCAAGGATCGTACCTGCACAAACAACACAATTTTGTAGTACGAGGATTGGATCGTCATTGATTTGATTTGATAATGAATCATGTGCTTACCACATTGGCATCTTTAGCGAGTCTGGAGCAAATTGTGCCGCTAGAATGCTCATCCTGATCGAACCACCCAATTTCAAAAGTAAGTATTTTAGACAGCATCATCTCTCGAACCCTCTTCGTAAGATATTCCCCCATGTATGCGAAGTTGTAGTGTTGTGTAATATTCACCATAAGCGAAAACACCGCCAACCCAACAAAGCTAAGCGCGTAAATCCTTGTCTTCTCCTTAATCTCTTCATGACTGGTCAAAAAATACACTGAAACCATCGTCCCCATTGCGTACGCATACAGCGGCTGCACAGCGCCGAAGAGCATCGCTCCCACGCATCCAATGGACGCCTGCTTCCACTCGGGTACGTTCAGAGCTAGCAGCCTCCGGAAAGAAGGAACCGGGAGTTGGTCTTCTTCTCTTTTGGTCATGGTTGGTGGGGTTTCCTCAACCAGGGTGAACCGGTCGGAGCCGGCTGAATTGGAGAAGCTAGAGCGACGGCTGCTGCTGGTGTTGAGTTTTTCGATGTGGGAAATGGAGGAGGAAGCGGAGTGGTGGGTGTTAGCGGTGGGTTCGGGGGGAGATTTGTGTTGGAGATGGACGAGGGAGGTGTAGAGGCCAGTGGGGTTTTGGATGAGGTGGTCGTGAGAGCCGATTTCCATGACTTGGCCGTTTTGGAGGACGGCAATGAGGTCGGCATTGCGGACGGTGGAGAGGCGGTGGGCGATTATGATGGTGGTGCGGCCAACGGCGGCTTTGTCCAGGGCTTGTTGGACAATGCGCTCTGATTCGGAGTCTAAGGCGCTGGTGGCTTCGTCCAGAAGGAGGATTCGTGGGCGCTTGATTATGGCTCTGGCAATGGCGATTCTCTGTTTCTGTCCTCCTGACATTTGAACGCCTCTTTCCCCCACCTGTTTAATCGGACCCAAGTTCAAAAATTGAAAATAGAATCCAAGAATAAAATACGAAATTACCTGTGTATCATATCCTTGAGGAAACTGGGAAAGGAAATTATGAGCATTGGAAGCTTTAGCAGCCTCCACGACCTCATCCATCGTGGCATCCTCCTTCCCAAAAAGAATATTCTCTTTAATGGATGTCGCAAAAAGCGCAGGCTCTTGGCTCACCAGCCCCATCTGCGACCTTAGCCACTTCAATTGCAGCTTATCAATGGCCACTCCATCCAGAAGGATGGATCCCGCAATTGGGTCGTAGAATCTCTGCAGCACAGAGATGACGGTGGACTTCCCTGATCCGCTGCCGCCAACAAGCGCCACGGTGCGTCCGGCCGGAATCGTGAGGGTCAGGTCCTTGAGGACTATGGTTTCGGGGCGGGAAGGGTAGGCGAAATGGACGTTTCGGAACTGAACCTCGCCGGAGACATTTTGGAGGATCTGGCCTTCCATGTCGGCGGAGTCAATTTTGGGGACCCGGTTTATGACCTCCATGATTCGCTCCCCGGCCGCACATGCCTCCGAAAAGTACTTAATGTTGGATAAACCCGAACCAATTGATCTGTCATTTTCCGTTTCCATTAATTCAAGCTTAATTCTCTATAATTCTAATATGAATTTAAAAAAATTATTAAACCATATATATTTAAGTGGACAAAGACAAGAATTTCAGGACTGCTATTACTGTTTTTAATGAGTAAGAGAGAGAGAGAGAAAAAATAGAATTTTTTTTAAAAAAAATAAAAACTTTTAAAATGGGTCATTCGATTATGTTCTATCTGGACAAAAATTGATCAAAAAAACACTTGATGGGGAAATTATTGGGACATGGATACTTACAATCCTCCGACAGAAATGGCAGCTCCAACGGCAAAAACTGTCCCACCTTGAGCGCCATGGTACATAACCATTCGGCTTCCATACCAAGACATGAACGACCAAATTACGAACGACACTCCATTACTTCCGATGGCCAAGCCTTTGGAAAACCCCTGCTTGATTCCCAGCTTCACCGACTGTTCTAAAGCCGACGAATATTCCGTTATGGTCTTGTCTTCTCCTACGAAAGCGTACACGGTTCTGATCGACGAAATCGCCTGCTCTGCAACTGTTCCGGCTTTCTTGTACCCTTCCATGCTTTTTCTCACTAAACCCATCAACGTTTTGCCGTAGAGAAGGCCGGGGATCACCAACAGCACCACGAAGGGGAGTCCCACCACCGCTAGCCTCCAAAACAGCGACACCGCCGCGATGTAGCTTCCGACGAACATGGCGGCGTTCATCAGAAAATTTGGGATCTGAATACATTAAAATATTAAATTTACTCTAAATTATAACTTAAATTTGAGTAAAATAAAAGCAAATCCTAAAGGACAAGAACTGGACAAAAACAAAAGCTTACCTTTTCACTAAAAACGTCTTGAATCACTAAGCTATCGTTGGAAACAGAGGTGATGACTTCCGACGTGCTGGTCACGTGCAGATCGAAGTACCCAACGTCTTGCCGGAGAACCGCTTTCAGATACCGTGCTCTCATTCTCGCCGCCTGTCGCTCTCCGGTTCTCGTCCAGCAGTATCCCTCTAAAAATACCCTAAATTAATTTTTTTTTTATATAATAATAAATAATAATAATAATAAAAAGAACCAAACAAGAAAGGAAATTCAAACCCACCTAGAAAACAAGCCACAAAGCCTCCACAAGCCACATACAAGAGCGCCACCGCATTCTGTCGCCCACAAAAATCAAATCGAAAATCCCATCATCCATTGTTTAATTTTTTTTTTTAAAAAAAAATAATAATAATTTAGAATCGCACCTTATCGACGTTGGTTACAAAAGATTCCGTCGGGGAATTTGAAGAGGTAGCGCCGATGTTGTTCATAAGGCGGCTTGAGACGATTAAAACAAGAGGGGTGGTGAAGCCGTCGCCCATGGCTCCGATGAACCCCAAAGTCATGAGAAACTTGTCGACGGCGTCGGCGTGCATGAAAATTGACGCCATCCCCCACCTACTTTTCTTCTTATTCCTAATTCCTTCCGATTCTCCGTTTTCTTTCCCCATTTTTCCTTCTCACTTTCCGGCTGTTTCTCGGAATCCAAACAGAAACAACGTCCCGGAAAATTAACTGCAGAATCCCACGGCTGAGCGGTGGGAAAAATTGTGGTTTCTTGCACAACAGCCTCGATTTGTTTGTTGCTATGAGCACTTCTGGACGGCCAGTAAGGCCCTATATATAAGTGACTTCGACCTGTGTTTGTCACTTTGTGAATCTTTTTTTTTTTTTTTTTTT